ACGTGAAGTCCGAGCTGCAGAAGAGACACACGTGCACAGACCCGGGTGATCTGCGCAGCTACCTTGGCTTGCAGATCACCCGGGACAGAGCACAGCGCACCATTACCCTGACTCAGTCACACATGGTGCAGCAGGTCCTTCAGCGCTTCGGCTTCACGTACTCCTCGCCTCAGGCCACTCCTCTGTCTACTCGCCACTCGCTCTCAGCCCTGCCTTCGGATGAGTCCGTAGAGCCGAGTGGCCCGTACCCAGAGCTTGTTGGCTGCCTCATGTACCTGATGACCTGCACTCGACCTGACCTTGCATACCCTCTTAGCATCTTGGCACGCTATGTTGCTCCTGGGAGACACCGACCAGAGCACATGGCTGCAGCGAAGAGGGTGTTGCGCTACTTGTGCAGTACGTCGGGCATGGGGCTAGTGCTTGGAGGGCAGCGTTCAGTGGTCCTCACAGGTCACGCAGACGCTTCTTGGGCTGACGACCAGGCTACGCAGCGGTCGTCACAGGGTTACACCTTCAGCCTTGGTTCCGGCTCTGTTTCGTGGCGGTCTACCCGCTCGTCTTCTGTTCTCGGCTCCAGCTGTGAGGCTGAGATCTACGCGGGGGCCATGGCTGCACAGGAGCTACGCTGGCTCACCTACCTGCTGACTGACCTAGGAGAGCCGCCTCGTTCTCCTCCGGTTCTGTACGTAGACAACAAGGCCATGCTGGCCTTGTGTCGGGAGCACAGACTGGAGCACAGAACGAAGCACATTGCTCTTCGCTACTTTCTTGCTCGTGAGCTGCAGCAGCGTGGTCAGCTGCGCCTTGCTTACGTGGCCTCTCAGGCCAACACTGCTGATATCTTTACCAAGGCACTTCCGCCTTGTGATCATCAGCGATGTTGTACGATGCTAGGTCTTGTGCCTACTTGGCCTCACTTGCTTACTTCTTGACCTTGCTTATACTGTGATCTTTCTATACCTGCACTTGCTTGTTTACCTTTATATATGATCTTGCATGTGAACTGGCCTTATGGCCTTGAACTTGTGCTCGGAATGTGTGGTGACGTTGTGATCCACCCTGAGCTTGCTTTGCTTTGCTTGACTGGTCTTGTGACCCCTTGTTCTCCCCCACTTTGCCTATGGGGGTGTGTCAGACTTGTATGACTTAGCCTGTGTAGGCTATAGTGGGGTAGCACATATGGGGTACAACACATTTCTAGGTTTGTACTTGTACCCAACCTTTCCCTTAGTCATTCATTCCTCATTTCTTCACAGAACAAGGCGTTTAGGCCACTTTTAGATAAATGCGTGATAGTTTACCTCGACGACATCCTTGTCTACAGTCGCGATAAGCAGCAGCACTTAGCAGACCTGGAAGCAGAATTTAATATCTTAGACGAGCACCGGCTACTTACGAAGGGTTCGTAGTTCGAGTTTTTTCAGGATAGGCTAGAGTTTTTAGGGCACGTTATTTCGGAGGCTGGGGTTGAAATTGACCCGAAGAAGCTGGACACGTACTGCGCATCGCCGACCCTCACCGCCCATTCGAAGTTGTTACAGACGCAAGCGACATCACCATCGGAGCCGTACTGCTACAGGATTTCGGCAACGGGTTACAGCCCATCGCATACGAGTCCCGCAAACTGCATCCGCCTGAGAAAAATTACCGATACACGACCGTGAAATGCTCGCGATTGGCACGCACTCAAAGTGTGGCGCTGTTACTTGACCGGCGCAGACGTGACAGTACGGACAGATCACAAGTCACTACAGTACCTCCGCGCACAGCCAAACCTCAACCCACGACAGATTCGCTGGCTCGATTTCCTCGAGTCCAATTTTCACTACACGGTCACCTACAAAAAAGGAGCCTCCAACATCGCCGGCGCACTGACCCGCCCCACTGCCCAAATTCATGCTATACTACTCGCCCAGACCAGCCCACTACTGACAGGACTATTTACCCACGGATACCAAACAGACCCGTTCTTCACAGGAGGAAATTCGCAGCAGTTTGCAGCAGCAAAGAGAGTCTATTACGTTAAAGCCGGCACCGACCGCATCTGGGTGCCAGGGTATACTTTGCTAAGGGAACTGTTGTTACAGGAGGCACACGAGGGCGCTACCTCGGGCCATTTCGGGGTAGAAAATACACGGCAGCAGCTGCAGCGGTATAACTATTGGCTCGAAATGTTGACGGACGTACAGCGACACGTGGCGTCGTGTCCCACCTGCCAACTCATGAAATCATCACGGAAGCGGCCGGCAGGGCAGTTGCAGCCGATACCACCCCCAGAGTGTGCTTGGCAGCAGGTGACGATGGACTTCGTCACGGGGTTACCGACTGGGGCAAGTAGAAACGATGCGATCCTGGTCGTTGTCGATCGGTTGACGAAAATGGCGCATTTCGCAACATGCTAGAAATCCATCTCTGCCGAAGAAACAGCTCGGCTCTTCATCGCTACCGTCGTTCGATTACACGGGATACCAACAGCAATCATTAGCGACAAGGACACGAAATTCACCAGCAACTTCTGGCGGAACTTGTGGCAGCAGTTCGGCAAGCGACTACAATTCAGTTCTTCGTACCACCCCGAGACAGACGGACAGACAAAACGGACAAACCAGACCATGGAGCAGCTTATCTGAGCCACGTGCGACGACCCAAGCACGTGGGAACAACAACTGCCACTCATTGAGTTCACGTACAATAATTCGCGATCCGCCACGACCCAACAGTCACCGTTTTACGTGAACTACGGACAAGACCCCACAGTACCCATGACTCCGAATCCCGACAACCCCGTACCACGTGCGCAGCAGTTCGCCGAGATTTTACAGGCAGCACGGACTCGGGCAGCAGATGCAATATAAAAATCAAACGTAATCGCTAAACGCAACGCCGATCGCCACCGCCGTCCCGTCACCTACCAGCTCGACAACTAAGTTTTACTCGACACTCAAAACCTACGCCTGCCCATCACGCCAAAACTCCGCCCTCGATATTGCTGGCCATTTCGCATAAGCCACATGATCACACCTGTCACCGCTCATCTCCTCCTCCCCGCTGACTGGTACGTCAGCCCGTCATTCCACGTCAGCCTCCTACGCCCTGACGTACCATCCACAAGCCAACTGCCCCCACACCGACCAGCCAGCATGACACGACCGCCCACTAAGCCAGCAATTACACCCGAGAAGATTCTGAGCCATCACGTCCGTGACCCACGTGGAGCACGCAGGGTCGAGTTCCTGATTTGATGGAAAGACCGCACCCCAACTGAAGACAATTGGGTTCTCCTGGACAAGATCGAAAACCACCCTGACCTCACCGACTATCTGTGCAGCCGCAATTTCCGAGATGTACACGCACTCCCGTATGGAGGGCCTCCTTAGGGAGGGGGGTAGTGCAAGGAATTTTCCATTTCCTTATGCCGCATCCCTGCTTAGCGCGTATATTACTGTAGCACCACAGTCAGCACCGTTACCACTCGCAACCCTCGCTTCGACAATCCTCCCGCCACCTTCGCACGTCGCACCCCGACCTCACGGCTCGGCTGGTAACCAGGGCTGACGCTATCAGACTAAATAGTCTGATTAGTCTGACGAATCAGACCATCCAGTTTGTGAAAAATGGAATTCTAGCGTAGTCAATTTTTCATCACTGAGAGCCTCAGAGTTATTGTTTTATGGCCCCTGGTTCAGTGTAAAAGGCCAAAGTGTTAGTCGTTTCTGGAGTCTGTCACTACAGAGTATGCGTTCCGTGGTCCCTGCATGCGAGTTTATCTGAAGAAAGCTTCCTCAAAATTTCCTCTCGATACACCCACCTCCGAGGTGGCAGCGAATGCCAACCTGGCCTGTCAAAGTTCCTGGGGCCAACACTTTGAGTCCTGAGTTGCTCGAAGTTTGGCCCTGATTTTCGCGAAGGTGATTGTTTTTTAGCCCTTAACACGCTCAGAGTGGCCCTTTTGCGGCCGAAGTGCCGTCAGAGTAGAAAAAAATTTTGCGGGTCAAAAACAGGGAGGCTTCTTTTGAAACGTGAGCCCTGTTCAACAGGCCCTACACAAAACCCGTTACTGAAAGTTTCGCTGCAATAAATTTGCGGAATGGCAACAAGAAATGCGACCGTAAGTCATAGGAAACACCAACAATGAATCTGCTTCTGTTACGAGTGCAATTGAGTGAGCGAGCGAGAATTGCACTATCGAAGCAAAAAGTACAGTGAGCGAAGGATTGAGCGAGAACTAAATAGCGAAGGCCACAGTGGTAACGGTAACGAACTGTGGGTGACGCGCGACGAGCCTGGGACTGAGGTTGGGAAATGTCGAGGCGGAGGCCCGGAGCGTGGGTTTCCAGCGGTGATGTTGCGTGTGGCAGGCTCACAGTTCCCCCAGTCACAGATTTCGCCTCGCCCTGCTGGCAAGATTCGTCGCACACCCATCGTTGAACAACGCAAACGAAGATAGATCTGTCGCATGCTCATATGCATCTGGGCAGATTCACTAGGGTGCGTTTAGTGGTCGAAGTATGGGTAGAGTGCGCAAAACAAGCCGAGGTTGTGAAGTATGAACTTGGAACTCCTGCATTCAGCTAAGTGCAACAAAAGTGCGACACCAACACCGAAGGTTCAAGAAACCCAGAAGATCTGCATCTGTATCGCAGTGTACACACCTTCTACATGATCCATCTGATCGGAATTCCCGAGACCACCTCGAAATCATCCTCCTACCTCGGTTCCTCCTCCCCTCGTCTCCGCTCCGCTCCACCACAAATTCCCACAACCTCGCCAAAACCTCTCTGCTTGCTGTCACATCCACGCGTCCTTCCTAACATCCACAAGCATCCTTCTTATCTTATCCCTTACATACCTATTTGGTCCTCGCTTCGTTCTTCGTTCTTGCATCTCATTCCCTGTCCACGACCGTATTCGCTTCGGATCGGCCGATCAGACCGCCTCACGCCTCGCACTCGACTATCCGCTTCCGATCTTCACAACGCGCTCACCGAGCCGCGATCATGGAAGACTGTTGCGCGGTCTGCGCGGAGCCGTTGGAGTGGGTAGCGATAGGCCCGTGCGGGCATCGCGACGTGTGCTCCATGTGCGTCGCGCGCCTGCGAGTCGTAATGAACGACCAGCGCTGCTGCATCTGCAAGCAGTCCTCGCTCGCCGTTGTCGTCACCAAGGTCGGCCCGATCCGATTCTATCCGATCCGATTCCTCCCGACCCGATTCGATCCTATCGCCATACCATGCCGCTCTGCCCCTTGCACTCCTTCCTCCCCTTGGCACTATTTATCTCCTCCGGCACTATGTTCCGACCTGCACTTTAAACCTATTCATTGTTCATCACTCGTCCACATCGGACGCGTTCCCGTCGGACGAGGAACAATAGAATCAAACCCATCGAACTCATTCCCACGCCTTCTGACACCTCCCCTCCTCTCTGCTCTCTTCGTCACTCTCGCTCTCTCCCTGTGAACCACCGCTTCTCTGCGTTTTCGCGCCTGCCTCGTTCCGTCGCAGGCTCTGGGCGACTACACGCGAACGTCGTTCGATTTCGCAGCGCTGCCGTCGCTCGTCGCCACGCCCGGGCGACCCGGGGCAGGCGAGTACTGGTACGACAGCGCCATGGGCGCTTACTTCGACGACGAGTCGCACTTCAAGACAATGCGCGCAATGACGCGCCTCACCTGCTCCATCTGCGCCAAATCCCCGCCGGCCGCCGCCTCCGGCTCCGCCGCCGCCGCCGGCGCCGCGGGCGGAGCGAATCCGCCGTTCGCGGGGACGGGGGCGGCGCCGCCGGGGCTGGCGTTCCGCAGCTTGAGCGCGCTGAAGGACCATCTGGGGCGCGCGCACGCCGTTAGGATGTGCGAGCTTTGCCTGGAAGGGCGGAAGGTGCGGAGGGGCAGGGGTAACGGGGAAGTGGGAAGGGGGAGTAAAGGGGGAGGGGAAGGGGGAGAGGGGAGAACGGGGGGTAAGTTGGCGATGGGACGAGCGTTGCATTGGAATGAGGGGGTTGGGGGAGTTTGAGGTGGTGGGAGTAAGGGGAGGGATTTAGCGTTAGGGGATTAGGGGAGATTGGTTTTGTGGGAAGAGGCAATACGTGTCGTCTGCCATTTGGATTCCCTTCTTCTGGCTTCATCCCTCCCGCACTCCCCCCCACTCGCCCCCGCCTTCCGCCTGCTCGTTTCCGCCACACTCCCAACCCACCCCGCCCTCTTCCCCCTTATCTCCCTCCTCCTAAACCACTCCTCTTCTCCCGGCTTTCTCTCTCCCGTCGCTCGTTCTCACGTTCGCTGCCTCCTTTTCCTCATATCTCCCTTGCCAATACATCCGTTGTCCCCGCTCCCGCATCCCCTCCGCACATCTTTCTATCCGAGCACCGACTGTACACGCGGCATCAGGTGGTTGGAGCTACAGTTCGCTCGGCTTAGCTACTCCCCCGCCCCCCCGACCCCCCCGCTCTCCGGCTCCCCCGCTCCTCGATCTTCCCCCCAGGTGTTCCTATCTAAGCAGCGCCTGCACACGCGGCAGCAGATGGAGTGACGCGAATTTGGAGGCGCCTCAAAAGCCCTCCCGTCCCCATCCTTTCCACCTCCCTTCCCGCTCCCCTCCCCCTCCCCGCCTCCCCCTCCCTTCCCCCTCTCCCAGGTTTTCCTATCGGAGCAGCGCTTGTACACGCGGCAGCAGGTGGAGCGGCACGAGGCGGGCGGAGATCCCGAGGTGGACGCTCGCTGCCAGTACATCCAGTGTCCCCTCTCCCGCTCCTCAGGTCTTTCTATCGGAGCAGCACCTGTACACGCGGCAGCAGGTGGAGCGGCACGAGTTTTGAGACGCCTCAAAAGCCCTCCCTTCCCCCTCCCCCTCCTTTCCCCCTCCCCTTCCCTTCCCCCTCCCGCAGGTCTTTCTATCGGAGCAGCGCCTGTACACGCGGCAGCAGGTGGAGCGGCACGAGGCGCGCGGAGATCCCGAGGTGGACGGCAGCAGCGAGGAGGCGCGCGGCGGGTTCAAGGGGCACCCGCGCTGCGACTTCTGCGCGCGGCGCTTCTACGGAGACAACGAGCTGTTTCACCACATGTCCACGGAGCATTTCACATGCCACATTTGCCAGCGGTAAGAGCGGAGGGAGGGGATGGGGCCTGGGCAAAGTGGGGTGGAGAGGGGGTAGGAGGGGGTGGGAGGGGGAGGGAGGGGTGGGAGGGGATGGGAAGGGGTGGGAGGGGAAACGGTGCGATTGGAAGGGGTGGGTGGGAGAAACGGGTTCAAGGGGCACCCGCGCGGCGCTTCTACGGAGACAACGAGCTGTTCCATCACATGTCCACGGAGCACTTCACGTGCCACATCTGCCAGCGGTGAGCCTAGCGAGGGCGTGGAGGGAAAGTGGGTGTGAGAGAGGGGGGGAGGGACGTGATGGTAAGTGTGATGGGCGACAATGCGCTGTTCCACCACATGTCCACGGAGCATTATACATGTGGACGGACACATGTGGACATTTGGTGAGCCACATCTCCCTTCCATATCGCGTGACCTCCTCCGTCCCCTCTCCCCACCCCGCCTAACCCCTCCCCTTCCCACCTCTCCCTACCGCACTCCTACCCCTCCCCACCCCATTCGCACCCCTGCCCACCCCACTCCCACCCCCACCTGCGCTCCCACCCTCCCCCATGCAGCAACAACCCTGGCAAATACGAGTATTTCCGCTCCTATGATCATCTGGAGGTAAGGATTTATCCACTGCTCTCCTTCTAACGTACTGCCTACGCTCTTGCTACATCCGTCCCCTCCCCTCCCCTCCCCTCCCCTCCCCTCCCCTCCCCTCCCCCAGCTTACGTTCCCCTCCCCCCCACCCTTCTCACTCCCACCCTCCCTGCCCCCCCTTCCCCCGCCCCTGGCGCCCCCTCCGCCCCCGTCCTCTTCCGTTCGTCCCTACTTCCAGTTGTCGTTTTAAGTGATTTCAACTTCTATAAATTTCACGCAGTGAACATAACAGCTTGTTACTTTCGAGTGTTTGCTCTGGTAACTATTTCGTTCCCCGCTCATGTCCCCCCTCTCCCCCTTCCACAGAACCACTTTCGCCCAGACCACCACGTGTGCGAGGACAGGGAGTGTCTGGAGAAGGGCACTTTTCCGCCCATACCACACATCCCGGTCCACACTCGTCCCCCCGTTCCACCGTCTCCCCGTCTCCCCGTCCCCCCGTTCCCCCGTTCTCCTCTCCCCCTTCCGCAGAACCACTTCCGCGCAGACCACCACGTGTGCGAGGACAGGGAGTGTCTGGAAAAGAAGTTTGTGGTGTTTGCATCGGAGATGGAGCTAAAGGTGCGTGAGGGGGTGCAGGCACAGAGGGTGCGCAGTGCGCGCACATGGCTTGTGAGGGGCAGGCAGGCAGGGAAGTGTGTAGCGGGGAAGTTTGTTGTGTTTGCATTGGAGATGGAGCTAAAGGTGCGTGAGGGGAGGGGGTGCTGTGCTGGCACAGGGGCGCGGGAGAGGGTGTGAGGAAGCACACACGCACACTTCAGGGTGCGAGGACAGGGAGTGTCTGGAGAAGAGGTTTGTGGTGTTTGCCTCGGAGATGGAGTAAAGGTGCGTGCGGGGAGGGGGCGCAGGCACAGAGGGGGAGGAGAAGGTGTGAGGAGGCACTCACACATACCTGGGTGTGCTTTTGAGTCGACTCAAAAGGGCACTCACACATACTTGGGTGTGACTCGCGAGGACAGGGAGTGCCTAGAGAAGAAATTCGTGGTGTTTGCATCGGAGATGGAGCTAAAGGTGAGAGAGGGGAGGGGGTGCAGCAGGCACAGAGGGGGAGCAAAGGTGTGTGAAGGGGGGGGGTAGTGGTGTGGTGACGGTGCGACGTTGGGTTGGGCAGGGGTGTTACGAGGGGTGTTGTTAGGAGCCTCAGAACAGAAGCGTGCTGTTGCTGATGTTCATTCGGCGCTCAGCAGCAGCACCTCACCGCCTTTCTGCAAAGCACGCTTGTCATCCTTGTCTGCCTGTTCTGTGCCGAGGTGACTTTTGAGTTTTGAGTCGACTCAAAAGAGGTGACTTCTGAGTTTTGAGTCGACTCAAAAGAGGTGACTTCTAAGTCGACTCAAAAGTCACCTTTCTGCAAAGCACGCTTGTCATGTCATCCTTGACTGTCTGTTCTGTGCCGTCCCTGTCGTTCCTCCCCTGCCCTGTTTCCTCCACACAGCAACACATCGCCCTGCAGCATGCGGGCAATATGAAGCGCGCCAAGTCTTTTGAGACGCCTCAAATGCCCCCTTTCCCTCCCTGCCCTTGTTGTTTTCTCCACACAGCAACACATCGCGCAGCAGCACGCGGGCAATATGAAGCGCGCCGAGCGCAACCGGGCACTGCAGGTGCGTGGATGGATGGGGACGAGGTGGGGACCTTTTGGGGTCGGATTGGGCACTTAGTGGAGAAGCTTTGGGGAAATGAGGAAGGATGGGGCCGGATTGGGATTGATTGCGGTCGGATGGGGCCGGATTGGGGACGTGTTGCATTGCATGTTGCAGCCAGTCCCACCTGATATTTCATGCTTCCATTCCCTCTCCAATTTCTGTCCAAGTCCCTCCTCCTCTCCCCTCCCTCCTCCCCCTTCCCGTGTTCACGTTCTTCCGCTCTTCTTTCTTCTCCCTCCCACTTCCCCTCCCCTCCTTACGACCTCTTCCCTGTCTCTTATTCAGTTCCCCCTCCCCTCTCCACCCTGTCTCCCCCCCTTCTCCATTCCCTCCCCCCCTATCCCTCATGCCCACTGAAACAGATCCCGCCTTCCCAGTTATTGAGACGTCTCAAAATTTGTCCTGTTTTCCCCCTACTCCATTCCATTCCTTCCCTTCTTCCCTCTTTCCCACTGTAACAGATCCCCCCTTCCCAGTTTTTCAACTTCCCCTCATTACGCGCAGAGGGTGGCAGGGGGAGAGGCAGGGGGGGGCGACAGGGGTACGAGGGCGGGGGAGGGGGACGAGGAGGGGGACGCGGAGGGGGGTTCGGGGGCGGGATGGGGGGGATGGGGGCGGGTGTGAGTGAAGCAGCAGTGCTAGCAGCAAGTATAGAGTCGGCTCAATTGGAACGGGCTTTAAGGGAATCTGCTGCTATAGCAGGAACAGGAGAGTCTGCTGCATCTGCTGCTGGTGGTGGTCGGGAGGGGGAAGGGTCTTTTCAGCACAAGCAGCAGCAGCAGCAGCAGCAGCAGCAGCAGCAGCAGCAGCAGTCACGGAGAAGGGGAGGCGGGCCTAGTGGTGGTACTGCTGCTAACTCCTCCCCCTCCGCCTCCTCCCTATCCCCACCACTACCCTCCTCCTCTTCGTCCGCCGTCCCTGCATCAGCACCCTCTCACTTCCCCCCGCTCCTAGCCCCAGACTCGTTTCCCCATCTCTCTGCGTCCGCTGCTCCTACTCCTCCTGCCGCTGCTGCCGCCAGCAGCAGCACCACCACCAGCAGTAGGGGCACGGCAATTAGCGGTGGCGTTGGTACTAGCAGCAAAGGGCCGTTAACTGAAGGCATGTCAGTGGCTGTGTACCGAGAAAAGGCCCAGCGCAACACAGCAGCAGCAGTGGTAGCAGGAGGAGCATTAGGGGCAGGCAGTGGGGGCATTACACAGGACGTTCTCTTTCCTCCCTTGCCTTCTGCCTCTGCCTCCTCTGCTGCTCCTTCTGCTCCATCCGATTCTTGGGGACCAGCGCGAGGGAACAGCAGCAGCAGCAGCAGCAGCGGCAGCAGTGGGAAAGCTGGTGGGAAGGGAGGGAAAGTCAAAGGCGGTCTTGGGGGGTTGAATGCGGTTCTGAGATCTGCAGGCCCGCTTGCTCCCCCCCAGCCCGTGGGTGGGGGGGGCGGGGGGCAGGCAGGGGGTGGGGGGCCGGAATGGCCAGTGCTGGGAGGGGGAGGTGGAGGGGGGAGAGGCGCAGGGGGATGGGGTGATGGGGGGGGCAAGGGGATAGGTGGTAGTAGTGGTAGCAGTGGTAGTGGAGGGGGAGGGGGAGGAGGTGGGGGAGGGGGAGGAGGAGGGGGAGTAGGGGGAGGGGGATTCGGCAGAGGGAAGACGAGCAGAGGGGGTGGGGGGGGGGGGTGCGGTACTACAGCCAGGCGCGTTTCCAAAGCTAGGGGAGGAGAGAGTGGTTAAGGATAGCTGGGAAGAGGAATACGAGGACAAGAAGCAGCAGCAGGACGAGAAAATGCCCTCCCAGCCGCCACCACAGCAGCAGCAGCAGCTGCCGCCGCAGCAGCAGAGCAGCAAAGAAAGCCGGCTGAAGCAACGGGTCGGGGACATTAGCAGTGAGGAAAAAGAAGCGCTTCGTGCAGCAAACAAGGCTCTGATAGAGGATATCAAATCCGGGCTGGGCGGCACGGGAAACAGCAGCGCTGGGTTTGAAGATTTCAAGGATAAATCCGCGAAATGGCGGGCTGGGGAGATGCTGACTGTGGTGTATTATGCGCATGTGTGCCGGCTGGGTTTGTCCCATCTGGTGCCGCGGCTGGCGATGCTTTGTCCGGATGTGGTCAAGCGAGAGGAGCTTCAGAAGGTGCATGCTGCTAGGCAGGCAGCAACTGGGGGGGCTTCAAGGGCAAGTGCTTCAAATGCCTCTGGTGCTTCTGATTCCGCTCATGCCTCGTCGCAAAGCGCGTCGTTGATAAAAGCAGACGCTGGGCGTGGGAGCGGAGGGGATGGAGGAGGGAAAAGAGACGGGGATATGGGTGCGAGGGGGGCGAGGGGTGGTAGTGGCGGAGGAAGGGAAGGGAGGGAGCATGAGAAGGGGGGAAAGGGTGCCGGGAAGGAGAAGCAGAAGCAGAAGGAGAAGGAGAAGGAGCAGGAGAGCGTGCAAGGGATGGGAGACGAAGGGAAGAAGGAATACAGATCACGAGCAGCATCGCTCTCTCACTCTCACTCTCACTCCCTGCATGCATCGATGTCTGCTCCTGAGCTCGCATCCATGGCTACCCCACCCGCTGCTTATGCTCCCTCCGCTGCCTTTCCTGCCCTCGCTCCAGCTCCCTCCCGCTTTCAAAAGCAATCAGGGGCAGGAGGAGCAGCAGGGGGAGGAGGCGGGGGAGCAAGAGGGGGAGCAGGAGCGGTGGGAGTTGGTGGGGAGTGGTCATGTAGTGTGTGTACGCTGATCAACTCTGCTAAATCGGTTCGCTGTTCTGTCTGCGGTTCTCTCCCCTCCACCGCTCCCTCTGCATCATCTCCTCTCGCTTCCTCCGCTGCTGTTGCCCCTCCTCAACCCACTCCCCCTCGACGCATCAGCAGCACCACCAGCATTGCAACCAGCGCAGCGGAAGCAGGTGCTGGAGCAGGGGAGGGGGGCAGCGCAGGGGGAGCGGGACGGGGCAAGGGGAAAGGGCGGAAGAACAAGGGGGTGACGGTGCGACTGGGTGACGGGTCCGCTGCTGCATTGTTTGCTCGCCTGGATGGGACAGAACCTCAGGGCAGTCCCAATTCTTGGGCTGACGCCGCTGGTCGACGCTAGAGTTTTGAGTCAGACTCAAGGCACAGCACAGCACACCCGAGCAAGGGCGTGACAGTGCGGCTGAGCGACGGGTCTGCTGCTGCGTTGTTTCCGTGCCTGGATGGGACAGAGTCCCAGGGAAGTCCCAACTCCTGGGCTGATCCCGCTGGTAGACGTTGAGTTTGAGTCAGATTTTGTTATTGTACATGCTGCCACCGACCTCTTGCATGTGGATGAAGGGCATGAGCAATTTAAGGACCATTTGAGAGATAGTGTTCCTGCACCAAGGTGTGGGTTGAATTTGGCTATGTTGTTTTTTGGACCATGATGCATTGATGGGCCACGGAACAACGAGAAAGAAATACTCTTCACGTATCAGGAGCGGGGGTAGTGCGTAGGTGTCAAATTTTGGAGACAACAGAGGGAACACCGTATCATATGAGGCTCAATGAGAACAATTAGGTATTTGATAGCGCTGAATGTATTGTAATGAAATATGAAATTTCAGGTTTTTCTGTGTTCGCTGCTTCACCCATACCCGAAAGCCTCACCCAAGTGCTGCTAATTCAAAGGACAAAAGCGTCCACCGTTTCCGCGTTGTTGCAGAATCGCACGATCGCATCTCATGCTGGGCTTGGAGTCCACTGATTTCCGTCGAGCAGGGGATTCGTTTTGGCCTTCTGTAGGAAAGTGGTGGCTGTTGTGATTGACGCGCCAACAACCTCCCGCTGCGGCTTGGAATGGGCACCACTAAAATATCTGTGGATGTATGACAGGTACACCTTTATTCTGGGCTTCCGCACAACTGGGAGCCCTGGCTACAGTGCGTACTGTTGCTTGGACCCTAGCAATCTGGTGCTTGGAGCCGAACCCGAGGTAGGTGGTAAGGAATGGTATACAACAGCATATAAAAGTGAAACTTTGCTTTTGCGTACGGTTGAGTACGGCGGATGTGCTGACATGGGACGCATTGATGTTATTACACCCATTTTTTCGTTTATATCACCAAGCGCGTTTCGGTTGGAGGTGCTTGTCATTTTTGCCCGGTGCTTTTAACGTCTGCAAGTCACATTTCCCTGCGTATTGCCGTCCCTTGCTCCCAAAATGTGGCTATAAATACGTTTTTGCAACTGTAGGCCGGCCTGACCTAATCATAACTAATAAATTTGGCCTAGTCTTTAGCGCGAATGCGTGTAACTGTAGTGCTCTGCCACCAATTTTCTTCAACGTTTAGCAATTCAATGCTGAACTGACCACGCGTGTGAATCGATTCTATGTGACATAAACTCATCGCTCCCAACCTTCTATGTGAACGTACCGAGCTGGTGGCGCAATCGCGGGTACATCAAACGAATAAGTTGGTGTACAACCGGTCTATTCATGTGGCGAAAGTCAGTGTGGCGAGAATGAGGGTGTACAACCGTGGATGTACGTATCCAACAAAAATGAACCACTAGAATATCTGTTGTACAGTCGATGCTCACCTTTATCTGTGTCCAAAGTTATCCCACCCAGAAAAACAGTCACTCGCGAACGTTTTTGCCCGTGAGTGACTGAATTGAGCATTGGGTAGAGTCACCAAGTTGCAGAAGGGCGACTTCTACAGTTCAGGGGTTGCCCGTCGCATAAGTCATTGCATACGTTATCTTAAAGGGGGGGTGCAACTTCTTAAGAACAGTAGCAGGACAAACATGGAGTGTGTGTAACGAGAACCTTATTGGATGAAAAAAATGAAATCTCGGAAAAGACAAACTTCTCGCCACAGATCTGCCTGGGACAACGAAGTTCCAAGCTACAATACTTCGAAGTTGAAGCTGATAGTTGGGCCACGGCTTTAAAAGGGTTGACCGAGTTATAGCGACTTGAGGAAGGTCCCAATTTCACTTTACAGTCCCATTTTTTCCCGTGGCGACGTGGCGAAGATCGACAAAATGCTTGGTGCCCGTTGCAGTCAATGTCCACCCACTTAACTGGTATTCTTGTAATGAGCACCGACTGTACTAAAAACGGAAGAGAATGTGTGCGTATTGCTGTAATGTGCTGGTTTCATTTGCGCTGCAAGACGTAGCACTTCTCTTTAGAATGAAGACGTAGACGTAGTCATTTCCGAATGATAGATTCCAGAGTCCAGACTCACCCAGCTTAGATATTTTTCGCTCCACCCAGCAGGCGAACGATTTATTTTTTGCTCCACCCAGCAGGCGAACGATTCGCTTTTGGCGTATGGCTTGTGAGCCATCAGATTTTCGACGTGATGATTATTCGCTATTCGTCGCACATCGTCCGCGTCTCCTCCTTCCGTTGGGTCGTCGTGACGTGGAATCTCACACCCCTCCTCCACCACCAAGTCTCGCTTGACAACTGGCTCCGCTTGGCGAACATTCTTGTACGTCCAACAGAAGTAGCCTATCAGCCGCAGGCACAATCTCTTGCTCCGTTGGTGGTTCTCGCAGTGAGTGGTTCACATCACATGAATCTCCAGCAACAATATCTTCGTCCAACGTTTTTCCTTCCCGTGGATGACGGGAGTTTTAGGGTATATATTTGAGACACCTCTGCTTAAAGAGCAAAATATGTGGCTATGAAACTAAATACGTCCACAAACACTGGTGTTTAGGGTGTGGTTGGATGTGCCAGCACAGTAAGTGCCAGCAGGTGCCAGCTCGCTTTTAGACTCTGCTGCTTTCATTCTGGCTATTGTACACCCTTTTTCACTTCAGCTCCAATCCCCGAAAGTGCAACCAGCACAGTAAATGACGCACAAGACGAACGACTTCACTAGCAGCAACTCACCACGCCACCCACGCGAAACCCCTTCCTTTCTCTTCTATGCTCTCTTCTGCCTCTCTCTCCTCTCTTCTCCAGCGGTCTATTTCACTGTGCGCATATTGTGACATGCAATACCACCATCACCAAGACTCCAAGCAGCAGTATTTCCATCACCCCGTTCTCATCCTCCCTTCCGCTCAGTCCTCTCTTTCTTAGTCAGCGTCTACCTTATCCACTCTTATCTCTTCCCGAGTGGTGCCCGTCGTCCCATCCCGTGTTCATCATCTCCTCTCGGCCCGTCTCTGCTGGCGCATGGCTGCTTACTGTTAGCAACAGTATTATCTAGGGAAACCGCTTTCTCTATTCGTGGATCCACCAATTTCTTCTTCTATTCCACTCGCTGACACATTCTAATAAAAAAAAGACTTCATGGCTTCCCAAGTTGCGGTGGCTGCGCATCTCCCGGCCTTGACACACGCAGTACGTGCCGAGGATCCCGCTTCGGAGCTTCTCCAACTTCAAGAAGACGATGATTGGCTACCCACCTACCTCGCCTCCACCTGCTACGGCAAGGACCCGCGCCTAAGCTCCGCCGTCAACAGACTCGCCACCGGACTTGGCAGCGGCGTATCGCCGTTCGCTCCTTCTCGCGCGTCCGCCGCGGCCTACGATAACAAACCTAACCTTGACGCTGGCGGCGCTTCCACTCCGCGCCGCGTATCCCTCCCGTCCCGCACAACATGGCATGGCACCACCGCCGCGGCCACATCCGCCGTCACGGCCGTTGCCAACGCGAACCGTTCAGAAGAATTCAAGTTAAGCATGATGCAGCCCGCTCTCTCGTCGCTTCAGGCCCCGTCAACCACCGGCGTTACTACAACCGGCGAATCTGCGCTGTCCGTCATGATCGCCGCCGGCGGAGTCGACATGAAGATAAAGTCATCGTGCGACCACGACGGTGTGTTAGCATCATCACCTGGGTCAGAGCATCAAACTCAGAGTTTGATGAGTCATTACAATGATGCGTTGGAGGGTAACACCGTGACGGTCGCCGCGTTTCAAGAGGCCTCCGCCACTATGGCTAATAGTAGCACTAATATTAGGAGGCCCGGCGGCATTTTCCGGTCCCTGAGACCTGCATCTATTGGTAGCGCCGCCGATCTGTCGCTGCCGCACTCAATGCGACAAAGTTTTTCGCAAAGCGACGCCGGCGACCGCGAGGAAGATTCGCCGAGCGAGGACTTCCACTCGTGGGTTGCGACGTCGCAGTGTCGCGCGGAACGGAGACGCGGCGGAAGCGCAGCGAGGAAAGCGGCGGGGAAAGTGACCGGGAAAGCCGCGCAGCCGGGAGAGGCTTCACGGTCACCCTTCACGGCCGGAGCAGCGGCAGCGGCAGCGGCAGCGGCTGCGGCTGCGGCTGCGGCGATCGCTGCGATGCCGGCAGAGGCGCAGCAAGAAGACGAAAAACTCGGCACCGGAAGTGCGAGGCCCCGTTGCGGTGCTGCTCGTAATACCTCTACTGTAACTACTACTACGAATGCCACCGTGACGGGCAAAAGCAGCGCTTCTCTTAGCACCAGCGGGAGGCGCATGTCGATAAACAGCCGGCGACGAAATGCCATGGATTATTCCGAGCTTGACGCTGTGCGAGAACGGTAAGGGCCCACCCCCCTTACTCCCCTTTCTTTAATGTGTCTATTTGTGTGTTTCTTTTTTTTTTTAATTATTTGACAGCACGTTTTAGTGGACTCGCTTTTCTGATGTTTCCCCTGCGTTTCCTCTCGCGTGCGCTCTGTTTCCCTCCCCAAACCCAGGCTCAAGCAGGCAGCGAGCATGTGGGCCATCGCTACTCCAGACTGCGATGAGGACGATGGTGCTGACAGCCAGAGCAGCGATGGCGATAGCGACGTCGGCGACGCTACTAGCGACGCCGGCGACAATGCTACTAGCGACGGCAGGGCCCTATGGGGGAGCAGCAGCGAGGAGACTTCTTCTGGTGCTGGGACGTCAGGCGAAGAGTCGCCTGCGGAGCAGATCTGCGAGCGCGCAGGCCTCCGCAAATCAGTGGACCAGCAACAGCAGCGGAAGGAGCAGCAGCAGCAGGGAATGGGGATGACCCAGAGACGGAGCGCGAGTGCGTTGTGGCAGTTGCTGCTGCCGGGAGTAAGGCGATAGCACGGCACGGGCGATGATCGCTCAAACGCCATCACAATACCCTATGCCTAAAACTGGGAGGAGTGGGAGGGATCCGT